AACGTAAGAGGGGACGTTGTGGGTGGGGAGGGGGGCCTCGAATGAAAGTGAAATTGGAAAGCAAATGGAGGCAATAAAAGGGAATCGGTTATATAATATCTGATAACTGATATAGCCTAGATTTTAATATAAAATGCAATAAAAATGATGAGAATAGAATAGAATAGAACCCATAGTGAGTCAAAGTTTTAAACAATAAGAGACCTCCACTTTCCAATATCAATATAATTGATATTTCTACAGAAATATAGTGTATATTTTTTTATCATATAGTATAGTCATTTGACAATTAGTCTGTTCAGTTCCCACATTCGAGCCATAAATCATTCAGTATATTTACGATTTTTGTTCGCCGTTTGGATCCAATTTCACGCGAATATTCCCTCTCATAGATAGAAGTACGGCCCGCCAATCAATGAGTACTATGATTACACCGTAAAAAAAAAAACAAACAAAAACCAGCAATTGAATTGAATTTCAAGAAGAAATTTCACCACTAAAAAAAGTAAGTAGATAACACAATCAATTCTTATCAGAGGAGAGGTCTTTTTCTGGCCTGTTTCTGGCATTATTTTGTCAAAATAATGGATTTCGTCTAGGATTCCAAGAGTCCACTCCATGGCGACTTAATTGGATTAAAATTTTTTTTCAGTGAAAAAGGCCATGTTGGGCTGGTCGTTTTTGGTGGGTGTGTCCCAGTACCGTTATGTTTACATATATTGCAACTTTTATGAACTTGGCTTAGGGTCTGGTCGATGAGAACAGCTGTTCCATTGCAATCCCGACTCACACACACACATACACACACTTACACACTCACACTGGCACACTCACCCATTCACACACATTTGGGGGGGGGGGATACACATGGAAACCGTTAGCCGGGCAGTAATTTACCGTTGTTAACCGCGCATGCGTTTTTCAAACACATTCCAATAAATTAGAAAAAAAAATTAGATGAACTAAGCCACATTAAAAAAAATAAAATAAAACTACCTCGTGTGGCTAAAAATCACATGGTGCAACTTGAATTGTTTGTTCCGCAAATTAGCACACCGCAAAACGCAACAAAAATATATATAAATCACCAGTTGCCATTTAGTCTAGTTCATCATTCATATGAGGGAATAATTTTTTTTGAATAATCACCACTAATTTGCAAAAAAAAAAATTAAATACTATACAGTAATGTAGAGCGAGGGAACAGTTCAGTTCAGTGGAGTAACGATATCGCTAACGGTATAACTCACCATTGGCGTGAATATGATTTGTGTTGTTGTTTGGTTGGACATGCTGATACATGACGTGCTACAGTGCGCCAATGTCGTCACTTTCATGTCACTTTACACTGCGAGAGAATGAAAGCGGCGGCCAGCGGCTCTGCGTATTTATAAGGTGCCGGGGAATCGGGAATTGGGCTCGGGACTCGGACTCGGTCTCGGTCTCGGAATCGGATCGGTTCGACAAATTTCTATAATGTGCTTTGCATCTCTCTGCCTCTGCCTCTGCTGACGTCGCAGTCGCTGTCAACGTTTTCCCAGTATTTTATATTTGTTTATGCGCTGCTCCTTTTGCGCAGAGCTTTTATCTTTTTTTTTTTTTGTTTCTTTTTTTTTTTTTTGTCTCCACTCAACCGGCAAAGGAGAGCAAACGCCGGAACTTCCGTGACGTAGACAGACGACAGAACTAAACCCAAAAGCTATCTTACCTATACAAAGGCATAAAAACACATACGTACAAACATACATATATGTACTTATATATCCGAGAATGCATCAAAAGCCGATTGGAATGCTTATCCGAACGCACTTGTTAAGCATTTAAAGCTAACGGTTAACCAAATGCAGTTTTATGGCCTAGTGCGCTTACAAATCACGTTTTCACAGTCGAGGACAAAAGCTAAGCAGCTAACTTTTTACAGGAAATAAAAAAAAACTAACCTCAAAATATATTATTAATGTTATGGGACCAATAGGGATTTCTTTATGATTTTCTCATTTTAAATACCATTTTATAAAATGTCTTATTGCTTAAAACTTAAACAAAAAAAACACTAGATCTATTCTTTAACAATATTTTGAAACAAAAATCGACAGTCTCGCAGCAATCGGCAGCCATCTTATTTCGGGACATAAACTAACCTCAAAAACCTTAGGAATTAACCCAAAAAATATTAAAAATGTTCTTATAGAACGAATAGCATTTTCTTTGAGTTTTTCCCTCTTTTTGCCTTTTTAAAGAATACTTAATTACATGAAAACCAAAAATGTATTTATTATAGACCCTTTTATATGAAAAACCCTTTATATGAATATGAAAAAACAAGTTCAAACATGTTAAAGTAAATAAATAGAAGGAAAAAAGTAAGAACGTGTCTATAAACATATAGTAATAGTACCGATGCGCTTTTTAGGAAGGTTTTTATAAAAGCGAAGATTATGAGTAACTTTTTGTTTGATTCCGTAAATACCTTAAGTGGAAAATGAATATTTAAATTTTCAAACTAAAACGCGGGCAATCCTGATGACCCGGGTTATCGCGATACACTGCTTTCTCCCATCCCTAGATCTGAGCTGCAAAAATTAAAATCTAAAATCGGTAGGGAAATAATTTAAATGGTAAAGCATAGTATTGAGTTGACGAAAATCCGCTGTTCAAATTCTGATAGCGATTTTGCACTTTATTCGGCTGCCGAGGTAGTGTGACCAAAACAATGAAGAAATAAGGTAATACTGAACAGCTGTTGTTTGTAAACAAAAAACAAATAAGCAAAAATGAATTCAAAACGATTGGATGTTGGTGTTTTGTTTATGTATTTCGCCGCTAAGGAGCTGATTAAGAAATAGAAAACTGGGTCAAAATCAAAATCCAAATCAATCACAAATCATTTCAATGCCATTTTATGGCATTAAAATGTCCCTTCGGGACGGCCAAATAAATCTTCCCCAATTTCCTGGATGGAAGTAACTTAATACAACAAAAAAAAAAAAATGCCCCTTGTGGGTCAAATCTCATATTATGGGCTTCGTCTTGACCGCAGAAATTTATTTTAATTTGTCCTGGCGCGTCGAAAATGTTTCGGGCCGACTATTTTTTTGTTTGGTCAATTGACCCTCCATGTCACACCTATAAAAATAAATTGAAATATTTATTTTAACACCCCGAGAGCAGCTGTTTATTTTTTTTGATCCGGCAACACCATTAAAATCGATAACAAAAATTTTCGTCAACTCAGTACCCGCAAAATCTAGAAGGCAAAAATTTCTTCTTCTTTCCTTTTTTACACCGTTTTTTTTATATGGAGTTTGACAGCTGTCACTCGTTGGACAGCGGATTTTCGTCAACTCAGTACTATGCTTAAGAAAAAAGGATAATACATTGGTATTCCAAATAATATATAAAATATATATATAAGTAATATAAATTAAAAATTGGAAAACGAATTATAGCTTTCAGATTTAAAATTGTGAATATTTAAATTCCCTAAAACATTCCCCCCACATTCATTTTTAAATAAAAAACACCATTGTTTAATTTTTTTTCTGTTTCTTGTTTTTTTTTTGTTTGCTTTTTATTTAACTTACAATGTTGTTTCATTTTCTTGTAGGTTGCTTTTTATGTTCATTTTTTTTTTTGTGAGATTTTCTCATTGTTTTATGTTTTATTTTTAAATAATGTTTTAGGTTTAGTACATATAATTACAACGCAATATTTTCATAGGACTTCGACTTCAGCTTCTTGACTTTTCCCTTCTTCCTGCCGACAACACAGCAACATCCTCAACACCCTATCCGATTTTAGTTTTTATTTTGTTTCTCTTCATGTTTATTTAAATATTTTTGTTTTTTTTTTTTTAATAATTTGTTGGTTTCGGACCTTGTTGGTTTAATATATGCCGAACTACAAACATAGATCAATATTTCAATCATCGTCATGCTATTCATATACATAGTTATATGTATAAATAGATGTTGTGTATATGGAATAATCAGGCTAGCTAAAAATTGGCGGAGGCTTCACCACAAGTTGTATACAATGTGTGTGTTTATTTTTTTTGTTTTTTTTAATAATTAAAGGTATACAGTCGACCTTTCTATTCGGGATTTTGGTTATAAAAGGGATGTTTTCTTTCTGGTTTTTATAATTTGGTAGGTGGAATTGTATCTGGCTTTGTTCTGTTGGGTTTTTAGAGTTTTTCTTAAAATGTTATTTTGCTTGGAAATAGAGATGATGAGGACCCGAATGAAAATATATATATATATACATATATAGATGTTTTTATAGATTTTGACATTTTCAAAAAGGATGCTGTTGTTGTATATAATTAGTATATATACATGCGTGTATACATTATACATACTAATCGGCTAATAAAGTTCATTTTAAGTCGCATATTTAATAACATTGAATTTATGTCGCGTTTTCCATAGTTTCTTACATTCTTTTCTTTTCTTTAATTTTATTTTTTTTTTGTTTTTTGTTATTTACACAGCTTTATTTTGTGGTTTATTTAGTAAAATACAATTACTATTAATGCTTGGCTTAAACTTAAGTCAGACCCACAGCTGGCATAAAACTACTAACTCAACTGTGTCCTTTCACTTTAATGTTTTCATTAATTTTCATGAATTTCTCCTTGCAATGAAAATGATCAACAGTATTTATGTAATATATTCATGCCCGACCGATGCTTCCAGCACTCTATCTCTATGTCCAAAATAATTATCAACTTGACTTTAAACTTAAGTGCTATCAACTAAAACATAACTTAAACTTTAATCTTTATTTTTATATATGTATATACTCATATGCACATACATACATATATATAAAAAAAATATATATACCATGCGTGTGTGTGTGTGTTGGGTTGTGTTGTGGTTGTTACGTACATATGCTGTTCTGTTTGTAGAAGATTTCAATTTGATTTTTCGACAATTTACAAAAACTTTAATAAACCAAAAAAAAAAAAAGTTTAAACTTGAATTAGTCGAAAAACCATAACACATCCTTAGCGGCCCGTTTGGTTGATGATGGTGGCAGGGGCATCGGTATTACATATATATATATATATATATTGGTTTCCATTGGATTACATGAAGCGCTGACGTTTACTATTATAGTGGCATATGTCCATTTTGTCGTCGATGGGACTGCCGGGACGCTTGCAATGGCGCGCTATTTCATTGGCAACAAATGCAAACAGCTCTGGGCCACTAAAAAAATAAACAAAATATATATATTATTTATAAATCATTAACAGAACCTTATTAGTAAACTTGATCTACGAGGTAATGCCTAAAATATCAAGCTTCATGCCCGAGAAACTCTTCCGTTTTAAGTAGCTTAATAAGGAGATTCCTTATAGACAAGGAAAACATGAAAAATGACTCAAAATCTAACTCTAATCTATGACTAACTTATAAAGAAAATAATAGATAACATGACTCTATTAACTCTCGTCTAATCAAGTCTACATAACCCTTAAAGATCCAAGTATTAAACCAACCGTGGACGCAGAACCAAGGCCTCCTTAAATGTGTGCAAATCATCACCGATACCACCGGCGCCAGCGGCTCCACCTGTCTGACCACCGCCCCCACCTCCAGCACCAGCGGACAATAAATGTGATTGTCCTCCAGTTACGGTCGGGGGGCCACCGGCCAGACCCAATCCTGAACTATGGAATCCTAAGCCAGAACCACCGCTACCACTCTGATGGTGTTCCGGCTTCGGTGAGCTAAATAGGAAGACACACAAACTGTAAATGGGGGAATGCTCTGTGAGAAACTCAATTACGACTCACCGACGATTGGCATGTGGATTGGCGTTGGACGGCGGTAGAGGCTTTCCTGCCAGATAGGCCAACAGATCCTCGCGTCGTATCATTCGGCGTTTTTTGCTGCGCGCCCAATCGGCCAGTTCGCGTGTGCGTCTTTGGTAGCCACACTGAATGGCGGCATCGCTGGTGCGTTTGAGACCATCACATGATTCTGAAAATCAAGATTACAGGTGTTACTATCTATAGAAACTATTAAATCAAGGATCGTACCTTTATAGAGAGTTGTCACAGTGCCAGCTGCGGTCTGGAAGGGTAGCCAAAGGGCGCCTGTATCTGAGGAAAATGTGTTCGATGAGCGCTCTAAAAAGTAAACAAAAAAGAAAGACAGCTATTAGTTTATTTATTTATTAATGAAGTTTGATTATTTGTTTAAAGAAACTTTTTTTTTGCTGAGTCTGCTTTGTAATACGAGGATCGTGGCAAGCAAGACTGAGAAAGTGAGAAGCAAAACCTACCGGAACCATAACTAATATAATTTGGTAATATTAAATGTTATAGTATTGACTCCCCAGGCCTTTCATGTAATATTATATTATACAATTATTTGGAATTAAGTTCCTGGTATGAATATTTTATTAATCATTAGAAGACTTCTTAATAGAACCTATTAAGATTCAATTATAGACACAGATGTTGCTATTAAGGACTTTTAAAGACTCGATCGATGATCAATTAAATACGAAAATGGCACTTTTTAATGGAAGATACTTTTGCAATAAAGATGTTTTCCATTAAACCATCTGCTTATGACTAACTTTAATGATCCTCCTAATAACCCTAAACAATTAATCGATATAAATCGATTTATTTTGCAACTAAATCATCACAAGTTTCTTAAAGACTTCATAATTACTTGTCTTCTTCTTTCGTATCTTTCTTCTCGCAAATTTTATCAGTTGGAAACTAAAGAATGCATGGAGAAATACTAAAAATAGATCATAGATACTATTAGAAGCATTATTAGAACGAAAAACGGGACTATGTGACCTGCCGGCCATTGAGGATCATTTTCCACCATTTTGTTGTGTGTCCTTTTTGTATTCTTTCTTCCCTAACCCCCTGCTCGTGGCACACCTGCTGCACACGGACAATAAAGGACGAAAAGATACAAGAGTGGGACAAAAGGAGAGACGAACCAGAGCCGTTATATGTATATCGACCCAAAAGTGGAGGAGAAAGAAGAAGCAAATGCCGAATGAAAATTCGTGGAAGTGGGATGGCAACAGTTGACGTCGTCATAAGCAAAAATAATTCGCAAAAAAAAAAACAATAAAGATTTTAAAGAATTCAACAAAAAAAATGAGAAGAATCATACTTCCTCTTCTACACATCCATCTTATTTGCATTTTTCTTTCAGAGAAAACAATGACGACAGCAAAACAGCTGTTCGACGCACACACACACACACACACAAACTCCGACTGTGATGTTTGGATGTGCGTGCATGCGTGTGCGTGTCGCAGTGTGTGTGTTGGGTGTTGTTTGTCTCTCTGTGTTTTTGCCTGCACGCACATGTTGATTAATGATATCAACAACAACAACAACAATAATAAATAGCAATAACAGCAAAAAGGCTGACCAGAAACTAAAAAAGAGCAGGCCAAAGGAAAATTCTTTAAGGCGACGCCTCTGCTGGTGCTGCTGGTTCTGGTGCTGCTACTACTACTACTACTACTGCTGCTGCTTCTGCTGCTGCTGCTGCTGCTGGGGGAAAACGTTGCACTTGCTTTCTCGCTCTGGTTCGCTCTTCTGGGCTCTCTCCCTTTTTCTATTGCATTTATCCCCCTCTACAACCATCCATCGCCGCCTCCTGTTGGCTCTTCCTGTCCCCCTCTGGCATATTCTCTCGCCGCAAGCCCTTTCTGCATTTTGATAATGCGTAGATTATTTCAGGATTGGAACAGGGGGTCGGTACCAAAATTTCAGGATGGATGGGGAATGAGGGGGGGGGTTAGCTGAGCAAAAAGCCGGGATGCTGCGCCTGCTGCTGCTGCTGCTGTGCATTCTTCCTCTTATTCTGGCTGGTCTATTAATACCTCGCCCAAAACTATTTTTAAAGAGAGACGGACTGCCGCAGACAGAGGCGAGAATTAATGTTATGTTTTGGGGGGCAGAATTATGGAACCCCCCATTGGCGTTAATCCTGCCTACGCCTTTGGCTCGCCTGCTCTCCCGACCCACACACACACACACACGCACACACACACACTATACGGCACACAAAGAAAGAACTAACAAAATTTTGAAAGCATGGAAAATAGTAGGTTCTGTTCTCTCCCCATTTTTCTTCCTCTTCTTTTCAAGCCCGGACGACGCCCTTGAAAGAGGAGATGATTTGGGGATGCCGCCGCCGCCCGGGTTTGTACCCAAAACTCACCTCTGTAAAGCTGGGCAACGGCCGTGGCCGAATCCTGGAATGCTCCATAGACGGTGCTCAGATTGTTGTCCCGCTGACGCACATACTCCCGTTCGTATTCATCTTGCTGGCCATGGATCTCGCGATGGTATTGCTCCTCCAGCCAGCTCTCCTCGCCCCCAGACTCCTGCTGTTGCTGCATCTTGGCCGTTTTTTTTTTTTCGCACAACCTTGTTCCGTTCTTTTCCGGCAAATGCCACAAAAAAAAAAAATAAAATATATTCCTGGTGCTGCTGCTCCTTTTCTTCAGTGCGGCTGGCTCTTCTTCTTCAGCTACGACGACACACTCGAACACACACACAATTACACACAACACACACACTGAGGCACGCGCGGAGACACAGACACACACACGCACGCACTTTGCGTGTGTGAGTTTGTCAACTCTTGGAATCGCACTCCGAATATGCGTTAATGATCCTTTCCGCGATCCTGAAAACCAATGTACTGGCTCGCGGCGACAATCTTTGGCAAGACTACAGAGTTTTGTAACTTATTTGGTCCGCAGTGGTATAACGAGCAGCACTTTCATCAAGTAAACCAGCAAAAAAAGAACTCACACACTCAGTGATAGCGCTGCCAGATCGTCCAGAACTCGGAAGTCTTTTGAACTAGTTCCGAACGAGTTATATTCTTAACGCTGAACTAGTTTTTGGTTAATTTTTGTAAAATACTAATAAAATATATTCTTCAAGATTATATAAACGATTTTGTCAAAAATTTCAATGATGTCCATATGGCTTAAGACTTAAATAAGAACTTAGAACAGTAAAATCCTCAATATATGTAATGTAACGCAAGGCATGTTACACTAAAAAAAAACTAATAAAGATAATAAAGGAATTTGAATATTTTCTAGTATTTAGAGGCGATAATAATATTTTAATTTACTAAGTGTGACTAAATTAAATATAATATAAATTCGATTTTTATTACCTTCTTTGGAACCAGTTGGAAAATGAATCATAATCGACTTGTCGATACCGCGACTTTTTTCCATCAGCCGGTCACACTGCGGTGCACGTTTTTGAAAGCCGGCCATCAACGTTGAAATCCAAAACAAACCAGAAATCCACAATGTTTATGAACTCAAATCTGTTTGAGCCCGGGAAATCCAAGGCGGAGAAGACCTTTATCCAGCAGGCGGTGAAACAGAACAACAGATTCGATGGAAGGCGTTCCACCGAGTGTCGCGATGTGGAGCTAACCTTCGGCTCGGATTGGGGCACTGTGGCGGTTTCTCTGGGCGAAACTAAGGTCCTGGCCCAGGTGAGCTGCGATATCGGTGTACCAACTATAGCCCGGCCCAACGAGGGAAAGCTCATACTGAATGTTAACATCAACGGTGTGGCGTTTCTCGATGAAGTCCAGAGCACTTATGACCAGAGATTCCTCACCTTGAATTCCCTGCTGGAGCGCACGTTTCGCACTTCCAGGTGCCTGGACATGGAATCCATGTGCATAGCTTCCGAGCTGCACGTGTGGTGTGTTCGTGTGGACATTAATGTGCTCAATCACGATGGAAATCTTTATGGTAGATCTGGATCCAGGCAGGGAAGCTTCAATGATTAAACTAACCTCTTTATATTACAGATGCCAGTACTATAGCCACCTTAGCAGCATTGATGCACTACCGCCGGCCGGATGTGAAATTTGCGGACGATGAACTGCATATCTACACCGAAAAGGAGCGGGAATACCAGCCCCTGCTCTTCCTGCACTATCCCGTCAGCGTAACATACTGCATTTACAAGACCAGTTCACAGCCGATAGTGGATCCAACGCTACTCGAAGAGAACGCCGCCGATTCAGTGATTGTCCTGAGCTTTAATTCGTACCAGGAGCTGTGTACGCTGAACGCTGGAGGCAGTGCACCCACGAATGTACGAACCATTATGCAGTGCGCCCGGAGTGCAGCCAAACGTTCCAAAGCCCTGGTGGATTTCATACGCAAAGCTTTAGGCCTACACGAGGCGCAAAGATCACGGGGCAGTCAATATGTTCCGGGACTGCTGAGCCTGGTCAGTGAGACGGCGCAAAAGGTGAGCTTCCACAAGCTGATGAAGGACGAGCTTGGTCAGGAGCGTTACACCATGGAAGCTTCGCAAATGGAGGTTGACGAGCAGCCCCCAAAAGAGGTGGAGTTAGTGGCGGAAGATGTTGATAAGGTGGAGATCCCTAAACAAGAAAAAGGTAAGAAAGGATGCATGGAATAGAACGGAAAAGAACGATCAAAAATGGTATTTTTCCTAGAAACTCCCATGGATGACAGCACTTGGCTGCCGGAGGAGAGCACCGAGGCGACGATTCCCACGCCAAAACCAGTAAAAAACAAGCGAAATAGGAACAAAGCCAACAAAAAACAGCAAAATCAACCTACAAAAAAACCACAAAGTATGTTGAAAAATATAAAATTAAAGTATTTAAAAACTAAAGAAGATCTTATCCAATTTGCAGATGATTCGGATTCGGAGGAGGAGACCAAGCCGGTTCTCTAGTAACCGGATATAGAGACAGTCCTGATAGTTAAATGAAAATGCTTTCTATTAAGTTTTATTTAGGCTTAAACGTATGGCTAAAAATCAGTCTAGGCATTTAACAGAAATCGCTTAAAGAGGAATTCCAATCTGAGCTTGGAACCAAGATGTTCGTCTTAGTCTTAGAACTATAGCTCTAAATATAATTTCCGAAAAAGGACGATTGTTAAAATGTATCTTTTACAGCAATTGTGGTTTTTGTGGTTTTCTGGGGGGGGAGGGTCTGTCAACTCAAAATAATTAATTTATTTAAGTATTAATATTTTATTGGTGTTTTTTTAGGTTGGTTGGTAGGTTCTGTTCGTTTTCTAGCCATCCCCAATTAACATGAGATATAATAAAAAACGATGAAATTAATAACTTTCGTCGTAAATCTAAGAATACGAATTAGTGTTTGATTCAGTGGTTGGTTTTTTGTGTTAATTCTCTTGTAAATTTACATAGTTTATTTTTTTTATGTAATATATGTATAAGTGTAAAAGTGTTTACAGTAAAGAGCTCTATTAATATTAACAACAGACCAATGCTACTTTTATGTTGTACAATATTTCGCTTAAACTTAGACTATTTTTTATTTGTTTTGGGAGCACCAGTTGCCACATTACTTTACCTTTTTTTCGTTTAGTTTTACATTGCAATTTTTTTTTATAATTTAAAGTTATTAGTAATCTTATCTGTTTTGTTGGGAAGTGATCGGGAAGGAGATTTATGGGCAGTGGGTGAGATGGAAAGGACATTTCGCTATCAGTATTTTTTTTTCACACAATTCGTTTCCTTGTCGTTTATAGATGAACAATGCTCTGACATCTCGGTCTCGGTATTCGATGACGACACCAAATGCAGCAACAATATTATGAGCGTTTGTGGGTGGCGGGCGGTTGTTGGTCTATGGGTTGGCATTAAAATGAGAAGACCGAATCGGCATCGTCCTCCTCCAATCTATGCCACCTGACCACCTGGCCTCCGCCCCTGCGTCTTCAGGTAGTGTCGTTGCCAATGCCATTCTTTTGGTCCAACTTATTCGAGCCCATCTTGACCATGTACACAAAAAATGTGATAATCTCCTTCTCCTTGATGGGTATTGTCTTAAAGTGCTTCATAATGGTCTGGAAATATTAAAAAAAAAGGTAATTATTTAGAGAATCTAATAAATATTAAATAAAGCTATAAAGAAAATTAAAGATCTTCTCTGATTTGATTTAAATACAAAATTTTCCTTTGTTTGTAGTTAATTTTTTAAGAATATTAACAAAAATATTAAACTTTAACTTTACAGAAACCATAAGTATTTAAATATTAAATTTAAAACCAACTTCACAAACACCAAACTTGATTGAGAACCCAAACTAGGTCACCAAACATATTCACTTTGTAGGGCAATTGTAAGTAACATAGATTTTCATCAATCGACATTTTTTTGGGTACATATTTTTGCGACCAGCACTGTATATTTTTCGACTGGCAAATAAAAACCCGAGACGAAGAAACTAAAATATATGCGACCGGGGTGTAGGGGAGACTCTACTCACATCCGCCAGCTGCGCCCGCTTCATGCCCTGTCGGGTTTGGACCTTGAAGTGGCGCTTGTATCGACGCAGCGTACTAACACCCAACTGATATAGATCGGGGAATTCGTGCAGATCTGTATCCGTTTCGTTGCTATCGTCCTCGCTGTCCTTGCGCCTCCGCTTGGTCCGCACCGATTGGATGCGTTCCTTGTGATGGTCACAGATGTATATGTGCTGGGCACTGGGATCACTACTAAGTTTTAGCCGCTTTTGGGCCACCGTTTTCTGGATACGCTTGGAATAGCTGGCATAGCCGGCCTGGTTGCGACACCTCTCCATGTCATCGATAAGGCAGCAGGTCTGGTCCGTGTGGCCGCGACTGTCCTCCTCGCCGGTGCTGAATCCGTTGTTCATCCTAAACTCCGTTTAGCTCCAATTTTTTCCGTAATTTTCTGTTAGTGATGCGGATTTTCTGCTGCTCGACAGCTCCTCCTCTTTGTTCCGCTTTAGGCTACGTTTCCGTTTCTCTTTCTATAGCTTCTACTTCTGATTGCTTTGCCTTCCCTTTCGCTGTTTGTGTGTTCCACCCCCTCCACCATAGTTTCTTTTGCGTCGCCTTCTCCACAGCCGGCTGAGGGTCACACTTAGGGATGGTACTATGACAATGGTTTACGAAATTTAAATTTTGGGCGGGAAATTTTTATAATAACTCAATAATGAGCCTATCTATTTTATTTAAAAGCCTTTTCAATGGGTTTAGGTTTATTATCTTGCAACTTCGTTTTTATTTTATTTTTAAGGTCTTATAGGACACTGCTGATCAGCTGAGCTTAGAGATGACACTTTTAATACCTACAAAATCTACCAAAATCTAAAAAGTTTCATTTAAATAAAACTTGAATGAAATAAAACCTCAACTAAATGTTAAAATTTAAAAGTACCTATTAAAACCTTATTTTTTTTAACTGTTCAACTGAAAAGCCGATTTTTGCAAGAAACTATCGATAATAAAACAAAAAAATACCGTATTTTCTTTCGATTTCCCCACATCTGGCTACACTCAATATCGATAGTTATTAATCATCGATATTTCGATAGAAATAAATATTGTCGCTGTCGGGTTTTTTTTTTGTTTTCAAAGACGAATAGACGAACGCTTCGCGTCGGCGGTTGATTTGCGTGTGTTTATTTACCTTTTTGAAGCCCGCACTTTCGCAGTGTTTTGTTTTGATTTTGCGGCAATCGCTTACATACATTACTGATGATTATTGGCTCTGAAACTCTGAAAATGTTAGTGCATGAAAATAATTTAGGATTAAAACGCGCTTTTTCCTTGACTGCTTGCGGTTTCCTTTTTGTTTTTGTTGTGTGCAGCAAATAAACTCGTTTGCCTCTGTGTGTGTGTGTGTGTGTGTGAGCGTTTGTTTGCGCGCGGCTTTTTTTTTTTTTTTAATATTATATTGTTAATGTTATTGTCAGAAGTAGATATTCTGCTTAAATATTAACGCTCTCCTGTATGACATTTGTATTTCCATTAAAGTTTCTGAGGGAAAAGCAGAAAGTACATAATCAACAGGACAGTAGCGGCAGCAACAGTTGAAGGCGGCAGGCAGCGTCGTAGGCCGTAAGGTATGCATTTTAATTATAATTTACATTTAAATAACCACCACCTTGGTCATAAAAGGCAAATACCATTTGGTTTCTGTTCTGTGGCGGTATTTCCCTCCCTGTTTTGTTAAAAAAAAAAAAAAACGGAAAAAGCGCCCTTGACAGCTGCCAAGATGCAGTCGCAGTTGACGTCGCTGTCGGCGTTGCCATCGAGTGAAATGCGACTACACTGAAAGAAAAAAAAAAGAAATCTTATTGGTAATTATTTTCATTGGTTACAATTCTTTAAAGAACTCTTAAGAATTTCTCTCAGTGCTGAGAAAGAAAGAAAAGGCAAGGCAAGACGTTAAGACAAGGCTTTGGCTCTTGGCCCAACTTCCAAATCAAATGGAATTTAGCCGGTTTCCATAAAAAGCAGCTCAGACATGCCAAACAGAGACGGGTACACCCAGCCAGAAAGAGATAGCCACAAGGAGACGGTTATTCTCAAGTGAGTGGGTCACTTTGCAGAGAGTCTCAACTTTGTTTGGGGAAAGGGGCGTTATTGCAGTCTTCCACTGCAGGGGGAGGGGTATTGGGGGGGTTGCGAAAGTTCAGTTGCGGGTTTCTTTATTTTCCTTTGCTTTTCCTTTTGGGGCGTGGCTGCTGAAAAGCAAGCAAAACAACAACAATGAACTCCGAACTGGCTCTATAACCTTCCCGTTGGAAGAAGATGCATCTGATGGATACACCGATACGGATATGGTTGGATAGATAGATGTTCCAATTGGACAGCAAGAGTGTGTAATTAACACACTCTTGGAAAATGTATTTCCTGATATCCTGAAGAAAATTAACAAAGGTCTGGAAATTGCTAAACTACACTGGAAAAAAATCAAAATCAAAATGACCTTAAACTATTCCAAAAAAAATATAGTATTTGCTTGTTAAATTCCTTCAAAAATTAGATTAATGCTAACGATTTTTTGATGAAAAAAATTCAAATAAAATCTAGAAGCTACTTTAGAGGCAATTACCTAACTGGCAGTGGCTTAGTTTGGTTCCCTATTGGACCACAAAGCCCCAACAAGTTGCTAACTAAAATTATGTAAATTACTTCAAAATTGGCATCACTGGGCGGGCGGGAATGGCAAGGCCAGTAATGAATAGCCCAGCTAAATACACAAATAACAAGCGTCTCTCATATGTATAAGCTCTCCTATATATAAAGGCCAAGATACATATTTAATTATTTACCCGAGAACTTGTTCGGGGTTTATATTACTCCTTTGTTGTTTTTTTTTTTTTTTGGGCTAAAAAAAAAAATGCTTCAAATGCGAGTGGAACGTGTCTCAGATCAACGTGACTCAAAAAATATATAAAAATACAAGCAAAAACCTTAAAAAATTATATAAACTTTTAATTATTTCTCAAAAGTTGACAAAATAAATTACACTTAAAATATAAACTAACTACTAACACACTATAGTCTTTATAATCTATTTATTTTCTTTTTAATCTTTACAAGTATTAAATAATAATTAAAAGATTAATGAATTTGCATTTTATTGGCTTTTAATAATGACTAGCAATTAAGATTATTTTCTAATCGATATCTCTGAATCGGTTTCAGAGTATTAGCTTTTCGAGTCTGTCATTTATTTTTATTTTCCACAACCCGTTTGGTTTTTTATAGATTTTTTACACGTTGTCTTGTTTTAATGTTTGTTGGATTTTATTAGTTTTTTTTTTAAGAGGTGGGTTGGACTGGACAGTTTGAATTTTTTTCCAACTCGATTGTTGTTATGGCCATATATTAAATGGTTAGGTTTTAGCCGGCTTTGGCCATCCATTCATACCCGGTACTTCTCTGAAGTAAGTTGGCGCCAATTCCTTCTCCAGACACCTCGTATAAATGTCATCATAAGCATTATATAGTTTTTATAGATATATATATATAAACAGATGGTGTGTATGGCCTGAAATGATTTTCATATCTGTGGGTGGGCATTTCTTTAAAGTTTCCTGCTTTTTTTTTTTTTTTTTTGATTCGCAAAGCATTAAATGGCTTGGCATCAAGTGCAAGATGGATGGTTTCTGCGAAGAAGACTCCCATTTCTCCCCTACCACTCATGATTCTCCATCTCCAGTCTTCTCCTTTCATCTTCTTGGATTTCAGCAAAAAATTATGCTTAATATGCAGAATACATTTCAGAGGAGTTCACTGGAATCTACTTTTATGATTATTCTTCCAAGATCTTGTTTTTGTTTCCAGCCCATTTAATTAAAATTTTTATTTTAATGAGTTTCCGTTTCATTTAAAAAAAAATATAGCAAGGGCCGTTCTTCTTTTTATGATTTTAACACTTTGTGACCCACTGTGCTATAGCATTTCCACGGGCATCCACCAGCATGTGTTTTGTTCTTTTTCAATTCTTTTTTTTTTTTTTATGTGTTTTTCCATTTCACACTTTGAGTTCAGTTTATTGTGCTGCAGCTGGTCGGGAAATGATGAAGAAAAGCCATGCAGAGGCAGAGGCAGAGGCACAGAGGCATTTTCCTTCCACCGTTGCACATGTTTCAATTTCCCTCCCTGCAGCAAAATGAATATAAAACAGATAGCTAGTAGAAAGTAAAGCGAATTTCGGATACTCTAACTTGGTTTTCATTAAAAAAGGATGGTGGGGAATTGTAAAAGAAATTGTAGAATATCTTCTATCTAATAGCAATCTTATAGGCTTATACTTATACTGATAGAATAGTATCTAATCTTCTAACTTATATCTAATAGTGAAGAGAAGACTGGTAAAGAAGTTAAATATTTTCCTATTTATTTAATGATATTTTAGGTAGTACTTTGGAAGTATTTTGAAAATCTTAAATGTATAGTTACTTTCGTCACTAAAATTAAGTGCAAATATAGGTCCTTTGTCATTGAAATTTGACCTCTTTAGAAGGCTTTTCTTAAAATAATAATTTAACTAGTTTATTTGTCATTAAAATGTATTGCAAATATAGTACTTTCGTCACTGGAATTTTACATCTTCAAGGCTTAGTTTAAATTCTTTTTTGAATAAATGTTCAACTCTTTTAAAATCTTAACTGAGATGGGGTTTTCGTTCTTAAAAGTTATAACTTCATTATAGTGCTTTCGTTACTGGTTCTATCCTATCTCTTAGTTACTTTCGTCACTAAAATTTAGCAGAAGTAGAGTGCTTTTGTCACTGAAATTTGACCTCCTTAGGGCTTAGTTTAAACTTTAAAGTCTTCTTAGAATAAATATTTAATTATTTTCTAATCTTGAATGAGTAATTGATTTCGTCATCAAAATGTATACAAAATATAGAGCTTTCGTCATTGGAATTAAACTTAATATGAGCTTCTGTAAGAATCTTCTAAGAATATGTACATATATTTGGCTATTTTAAAATCTTAAATAAGCGAATATTTTCGTCACTAATATACTACTACGATATACTACTAACTAATATATAAACTAACTATAGAGCTTTCGTCACTGAAATCACTGAAATATTATTTCTTAAAGGCTCTTCTTAGAATAACTATTTTACGGGTTTAAAACCTTAGAAGTTGTTGTAAAAGAAGTTGTTTTTGTGATTTATAATCTAGCTACCATGCTTTCGTCACTGCAATAGTACACCTAAAAGGTTAATTCTTAGCCCTTCCTTAATAAACAATAATTAGAAAACAAAACCCTGAAACAAACCAACTTTATAGCTTACTTGATGTACTCTTGTCTAGGTAGGGTATTATAAAAAACAATATTGTGCATTGCCAATATTGTTTTCTCCCCCATGCTAACGGTTCCCCCAGCGTCATGCCGCCTTTACCCCCCACTCCCTTCTGGCCATCGCTCTGCACATTTGCATCCGACACTTTTTTTTTTTTTTTTCAAACCGGACGCACTTTGTCACCGTCGCTGATCTTTAATGGTGCGTCTATGTCGGTATGCGTGAGTGATGAATATATGGATATGCACTGAGAGATATATATTTCTTAAATATTTCTTTTTTTTTAGAGGTGTAATTGAATAGTTTCTCTCAGTGTATGTAGCATGGGTGACACATGTGGCGTTAGTTGGAGGCGACACCTTTGGCAACGACATCGTCGTCTACGTCGTCGTGGTTTCTGCTCCCATTGCAATGTCACCATGTGTTCCATTTAGCCGCTTTCTGTTTTCAGTTTTTCATTTTTTCATTTTCTATTTTTTTTCTAGTTTCTAGTCGCCCATTCAGTGAAGTGACAAGTAGTAGCAAGTATTCCCCATAGTTACCATCCATCCGTTCTAGCTATCCCTATAACCATTCCCCACCGCCATTGTCATAAACCCGGTAACCATAAACGCACATTCATAATTCTCACAATGGACAGCGGCAGCATAAAAATGCAGACAATAATAAACAAAACCAAAACAGGGGCTTCCGTTTTCCGGTCCCGGCCATCCATTCCGTACGTATAAAAACAATACTTTTGCGTAGAGTTCAACAAACCTATACCATTGGATACTAAGTATATATATAGTATATATATCCCTCAATTTAATACAACTACGCACTATGCGTGGGACAAAGATGGCCTTCGCTTGCTGGACTTTCTTGGACTTGCCATTTAATTAAATCCATTTGCTCAAACTTGACTTTAATTGAATCAATAAACCAATTAAATTAAAAACACTCTGACTCCTAAGGTTACCTATATTTAAGAACTATTACTAATTTTATTAATAATTTGAGAAATGGCGTCAGTGTTTGTTGTTTCCTTCACTGACTTTCTGAGATTGTAAGCCGGCGGAGCTTTGTTTTTTCTGCGCGTTCCGTTAATGAAGTCATCCAAGTCAAAGCATGTTTTGTTTCACTTTGCTTTGAATTACTTTACCCCCACACACGGCTACATGCAATGAAAAAAAAGGGAAAAAAATATATTTACCTCACGCGGAGTCGAACTCTATATGCTCTTGTAGCTAGAAATGTATCTGAAAAATCGAAAAACTATCTTTAGAAGACTCTTAAATAAACTAAGTA